GTCTCTCTCTCTCTCTCTCTCTCTCTCTCTCTCTCTCTCTCTCTCTCTCAAGCCACCACCGACGAGTTTGAGCATAGTTAGCAAGTAAGGGACTATCAATAATTCAGCTCACCATAAAATTGGAAATAAATCGTTTCTATTTTAAAAATTTGGACGAAAAAATCAGGTAAAAAATAAGGATCGGCAAAAATATTTCATGTAAAGTTATCGCAAATATATCGAACGAGGCTCAACAAATCAGAGTCAAAAAATTGGTGAAGTTTAAAAATATTAGAAATTTTGAAATACACCTATTTAGTAGGTACCAAAAAAAATACACCATATGGATATACCATATTATAACTACGGTTTGGTTAACACTGGTATAGTGAGTTGGAAGCATCCGGATGTTATAACTATGGTATGGTGAGTTGGAAGCATCCGGAGATATTATAACTACGGTATGGTGGTTGGTGACCAATTACTTCAAAGTTCAAACAGCAGCAAGAAGCATCTGAAGTTCTGGACATTCATAGCACGCAGAGAGGAAGAAGAATAAAACCCCAATTAGAGCAGCACACAGAGAGGAAGAAGAATAAAACCCCAATTGGAGCAGCACGCAGAGAGGGAGAACCAGAGAAGCAACACATACAGAGAGAGAAGCAGCATGCACAGAGGGAGCAGCACACACGGAGGAATTAAGGGTTTGGGTAAATGAAAAAACCTGTTTGGGGCTTGAGTGAGAGAAGGAAGCAGCACACACAGAGGAACTATGGGTTTGGGGATATGAAAAAACCCATTTGGGGATTGAGTGAGAGAGAGAAAAGCAGCACCCACATAGGAAGTAGCAGCATGCACAGGTTTGGGCATATGAAAAAACCCCTAATCTGGTTTTTTTTTTAAAGCTTAGTTTTTAAGCTTTTGTATTTGTAATCTGGAATTCTGGAGGCTCTTTGAACCCTAATTTGCATTGAATTTTTGGTGGAATTTTGTCAAGCGAAAATTTGGGAATTTTTTATTTAATGGTTTTCATGCTTGTTTATTCTAATTTGATTCTAATTTGTGATAATCATGATGGTTTGAGCCCTAATTTATAATAATCTGGATGGTTTGAGCCCTAATTTATGATAATCTGGATGGTTTTATGCCATAAACAATATTTCCATAATAATAAATCTGCATCTATTTTAGATTTTTTTTTTTTTAAATGATATTTTTTTAGAAAGTATGAAAATAATAGTATACAAATCAGGAAAAAAAAAATTTATCTTTCAAAAAAAAATTACAAGAAAAAAAAAGGATACAATTTTTTTGGTCCAGTTCAATTCGTTATTCTTAAAATCGCGTTTTAAATGTTTTTCTGAAAAAAACCGTGTTTTTTTGCCGAACTTCTCAAAAAAGCGCCGTTTTAAACATTTTCCATAAAAACGCTGATTTTTTGAAAAAAAATGCGTTTTAAATGCCGATTTGCTAACTATGGTTTAGAGCAAGACTCTGGCGACATTCCAGTGACACTCTCATGAGATTTTGTCCTTTACACCAGGTGAGTCTTTCTTTGTAATTTAATAATTACCAAGTAAAAATTAAAGTCTCAACTTTATTCCTCGTTGAGTTTTAAGGAAAGTCAAGATTCCAGTGGGATTATGCCATATTTCATTCTTTTTATGTTAAATATTATGTTTTCGATGAGAATTCTGATGTATTCTTTTTTTGTTTTTACTTTTTTGAATTTCAGTTAGGAAAATGCAAGAAACAGAAAATGAATAAAATAGGGAAAAAAAAAGCCAGAAACAAAAAAAGAAAATTTCAAAAAACAGAGAATGAATTTTCTGTTCCATAGGAATGGATCTTGAGACATTGCATTATTTTCCATAAGATCATAGAATGAAAATTTATTTTTGAAAATGCAAAAAAGAAAAACAGAAAATGCAAAAAAACAGAATGAGTTATTGTATTGTTTGTTAATGAGTAGCTAATTAATGCTTGATGAGTTATTTTTGTTTCTAATATTTTGTCAATTTTTCTTTTTCAAAATTTCCTATTTTTGCATAATTTTCTCTATTTTTTCACAATTTTTCTTTATTTTAATATCATCATCATCATAGCCTTTTCCTAATTAATTGGGGACTGCTATATGAATTTTGGTCCACCATTCTGCTCTATTAAAGACCATACCCTTAGTGAGGCCATAAGTCCCCATATGTTTTCAGACTACTTCCAACCACGTCCTTTTGGGCCTTTCCCTTGCCCTTTTCAGTCCTCCCACTTGAACTAACTCGCATCTCCTAACAGGTGTTGTACTTGGTCGACGCACATATAGCCCAGTCCAGCCCACCTAAATCTACTCCCTCTCATCTTGTCGCCTATTGGTGCAACACCTAAATTCTCTTAAATAGATTCATTTTAAATTCTATCCCTTCTTGTCTTGCCATTCATCCATCTCAACATCTTCATCTCCGCTACAATCATTCTATGGGTATATTGTTTTTGTCCACCCCACATTCCGCCCTATAGAGCAAAGTTGGTCTCACAGCTGTCCCATAGAACTTGTCCTTCAGCTTCATTGGTAAGCGATGATCACATAAAATTCCAGTTGCACATCCAGCTCTCATTCTGTGTGCGACATCTTCCTTAATCTCTCCAGTTTCTTGGATTATCGACCCAAGATATCGAAAGTGCAGTCTTTTTTGTATTTCATGGCCATCAATCTTAACTACTTCCTAGTCTCTACTCCTATTATTACTAAACTTGAATTCTATATACTCTATCTTCATCCAACTAATTTAAAACTTTTGGATTCTAAGGCATCCCTCCAAAGTACTAACTTTGTATTGATGCCGTTTTGGGTCTCATCAATCAAAACGATGTCATCAGCGAACAAGATGCACCAAAGTACCTCATCCTGTAGGTGCCTTATTTTAATATAGTTTTATTAATTATGTAATTTCTTAGACCAATCAGGCCGGTGAACCAGTCCGGTTCAGCCAATTTAACTGAACCGGTGCCCTCAACGGTTCAGTCACCGATCTGGTCCTACCAACATTAGTTTAGAGATAATTGATATTAGGATGAGGTTTCAATGTCTTTATGAATATGGGCACTCTTGTTCCTCACATGTAACAAACAGATTTGAGCTGAAGCAATAAGAAGTTCCAGTATAAAGTCTACCATCATTTCTGGTTTTCCTCAATTTTCAGTGTGGCCCATTTAAGTATGGGCCTCTAACTAGGATAGGAGACCAAATTATCCCACATGCCAATCAGAGGATCCGGCATTCAACATACATTATCAAAGTATACAGTAGACATGATGATCAACATTCACCCCATAACTATGGTATCATCTCAATTGTCGTTCTATAGGACAGAAACTGGTACCACAGTTATCTATAGTATATCCAAAGAATACTTCTCAATGTATCCTAAAACCCCAGCCCCCACCAAAATCAAACCGGTACTCATGCGAACATCAGTTAGAAGAGAGAAAAATCCAATAATTTGTGCAAATTCCCCAGGTTGATGAGAGTTTTCCAAGTAAGATGGCATCCCACATCCTATGCACTAACTCTTACTAAAGATTTAAAAAAAAAAGAAAGTCATCGAAGTAAACAGTGAACCACCTAATCCCTCAGAGATTTATATAACTAATAGTAATAAGTATATAACAAAATACAAAATATACATAAAGATCATTTGAAACGGCATCTGATGTACTACTCAGCATCGAAGTCTAGACTGTTTTCTATTCTGCTATGTGATAGAAACACATATCACAGCAGCATTTTTTTTTTTTTTTTTTGCATAAAATATACCGTTATAGATTCTACACAAAACTATCCTAATCCTAGTTTTAAACAAAAACAGAAGATAGCAAAATAATATAAAAGAGAATTCTCACGTACATGCAAATCATTTTGAAGGGGTGTCCCTGTCAGCATCAGACGTTGGTTTGCCTTTTGTGCAACAGACATTAAGTTTTTTCTCCTATAGCTATTTCTGTCCTTTAAAACATGGGCTTCGTCCATGACCACACAGCTCCACCGCCAACGCTTTAGCACTTTGCGGTCATCCTTTTGCTGCACACTGCAAGGAGAAAGGAAAATTACAAGAGACTGCTCACGAAGTCCTTTACCTTTTCACATGATTAGAATAATCACCATTTTCAATGGCAATCAGGGGCTCCCTTGTTGAATAAATGGGAAGAGTTAGAGTGCAATGAAACTCACTCCTAGTGGGTGTTTACTTGCTGTTGAACAATTAATGTTTCTAAATGACAAACAAATGTGTAATGAGTAAAACATATGGAAGTAAATACCTATGCCTTTCAAAAAGTGAATAACACACTAAGAGCACATCAAATGGTGGCCGCCGATGAGCCTTGGCAAGGGAACTCAACTCTTTAGAATAGGCTGCACGTCCAGCCCCATGGAATTGAATGACAGTAAAAGATGGGCACCACTTTTTAAGTTCTCTCTCCCAGTTCTCCAAAACAGACGCCGGGCAAACAATCAAGTGAGGACCAGGATCATCTTCCAAGTGCTTCAAGAGAGTTAAATAGGTGATTGCCTACAAGTAGGAAACCCAATTCTTCAATTCACTATGATAATAAGAAAGCAGTCCATAATATCTAAGTATAGGGAAGGCCCATGAAAGCACCATACCTGAATAGTTTTACCAAGTCCCATCTCATCAGCCAGAATGGCTGCAAATAGACAAATTTGAATCCAGATGGTTACCAAATACACATTTTACATCAGGTTTATTTGAAAGCTATATATGACCAATACATTCTATAATTAGATTAAATATGATTGGAAAAGAGTAGAACCAATCTTTTAATATATTAAACGTATCTTTTTTTTTTTCTGGAGGAAAGAAAATCACCAATGTCCGGTCAAATATAAATATATATACAAGCTTTTCGAAAGTTCTATTAAATAATTAAAAAGGTTGTCAAAGGATCCACAAACAGAATTTCAGAATATGTATAAACTCAATCACTGATTCATCAGCATCAGACACGACGCTCAGTTTGCAAAGTTGCCACTACACACTGAAGTACCATGAGACAATGGAAATAATAAAGAACTAAGACATGCTTTTCAACAATTCTATGCATCTACAACATAACTTTTTTGTGAGCTTACATACACTTCTAGAATATCAGAATGACCATACCCGTTTTAGTATCAATGCATCATATCTTTGCACATTTTTCTCCATTTCAATTACAAATCATGCTAAAGAAGTTCAGGGCTTTGTAGAACTACGGATATTTGAGTTATCAAGTTGTGGCATGTCTGATGAGACTTATAATTGGTCAAAAGACAAATGTGACCTCTTCTCGCAAAAGTGTAAAGCCTAAGTAACTACTCCAAGGGATATGTTTTTGAAACCCATACATCGCAAGATGTTCCTTCCACAAGTACATCAATCCAAAGGTGAAAGGTGAATAAGAGGCATAGTAGCTGGACACATGGCATGCCCAGATAGCACAAGACATGGAGGTCCATTAATGCAGTGTGTTTCTTTGTTTTTTTTTTTTGGCAATGCATAGTATAGACCACAGGATAACAACGGGAGGCTCATATGTGAACTTCCTAATACCTATAGAGCTTGGGCATTTTCGACAAATACACAACTTCTCAACACGTGTTCAGTTAATTTCGAATCTAAGCTTTAAAATTCAAAGATGGTAAGGGCCCTAACCATTTCAGCAGTAATGTAATAGGACAACACAATTTATAGGTGAAATTAAAGATAAAAATGGTCATCATTTTGAAATTAATTGTAAAAATATATGAAATCCAATGTCATAATAGCACTCAGGATATTTTAATCCAATTACAAGCACAGTAACAAGAACGTAGGTGATGGTTAACAAAAAAAATGCATACCATCTTTCCCAGAACCTTGAAAGGACAAGTGAAACACTCAGTAACATGTCAAAATATGCAGTAATTTCAAGAAAGAGAAAAGGTAAATACCTCCACCAATTTTCTTTCTATACAATAGAAGAAGAAAGTTCACACCAACAATCTGGTATGGCTTCAAAATTGGCTGAACATCAGACTCCTCACTCGCACAAGCGGCATCAATATCTTCCTACATGACAAGCCAAACGTGTTCACAATAGAAATAACAAATCAATACTTCATTGTCGAAGTTGGAAGCATGACTAGGTAGCTCATTGAACAAATTACTGATTTCGAAAGTTCAGCAAATAAGAGTAAAACTATGTCCACAGGATCTGATTTTACGAATCCTAAACAACCTGAACAACTTCGAAAGTCCAAAGCTAGGTTATTACCATTTATTCATATATTTCAGGTTTTCATTTGGATCAAAGATAGCAATTATGAAAAAAAAAAGGGTACAAGAATGCAAACATCCAAAAGAGACCAAGTACCAAGGAGACCAAGAACCTAAGTTTTCACTATGCATGCTACGTGGAACGATTTCTTCGCAATTACTATCAACGTTCAAAAAGGCGGAGGCAGCCACCTAGGCACCAAGGTGGCATGGGCACCAGACGCAGAGGCGGCCCTAAGGGAAGGGTTTGGGGTGGGGGCCATAAGTTGTTTTGTGTGCGTCTGTTTGTGAATGTGTGTGTATGTGTTTAGGGTGTGTGTGCATGCGCACGTATTTGTGTGTGTGTGGTCTCGCATGAAATTCTTAAAGATCATCCACTTTTTTTCTTTTTGTTCTTTTGGATATGTATCTGTGAGAGAGAGGTCTTGAATCTTGATCACTTGGAGGATATGGGGAGAGAGAGAGGGAGAGTCTATGAGAGACAGGGACCTCGCATCGAACACTTGGAGGCCATTTTCCTCTTTTTTTCTTCGGACATGTAAAGACGGAGCATATGGATCCATGTGTATCTTTGTGTGTGTACGTGTGTGAGAGAGAGTGTGCACATCAAACACTTGGAGTCCATCTTCTTCTTCTTCTTCTCATATGTAAAGAGATCACATGGACCCAAGAGAGAGAGAAAGAGACAAGGGCAATCCCAGGCCTTGTTTTTGTTCGGGTGGATATGAATTTCCTTTATTTAAAAAATTTAAGGGATGGAACTAGGTGGGTGCCCAGACTGCCTAGGCACGAGCCTTAGGCATTCCCGCTCAGACCCCACCACCTAGGTGGCAAGGCAGCCGAATTTTCGTTCATTAACTACCATCTAGCTTCACAACTAAGGAGAACTCACCAGAAAGTCCAAAAATTTACCACAGATATTATCCTCAACATGGAGAAACAAGGCAACACCAACTCATAAAGTAGCAATTTTATCAGGATAGATAGTAAAAAAAACTGCAGTTTCTGGGCTTGTTCTAATAAAGAAATCTGTAAACAAGATAGAGAGAATAATGAATTTAAAGTGTTTCTATGCTCAGTGGAAATACGGTTACATTTCAGAAATTAGCCATGCCCCATGTAACATAATATAAAATGGTAACAACAGTAATTATTGATTAACAATAATAATAATAAGTGACTAATTAATTAAAAAAAAAAATACATACTTGTTTGACGATTTTAGCAGAAGCAGCATCAACTTCTGAATAAGCCTCACATGATACAGGAGAACCTGAACTGCTCCCATAGAGCTCCTTTCTCAAAGAAGCCGAAATCCTATCACATTTTTGCAAAGCATTTCCCACCACATCATCTTCATCAACTGGCTCTGCGTACTCAGTATCACTCTGAATTTCCCAAATTTCATCCTCTTCTTCTAAGGCCTTCTGATTCTTCTTCTCTGGAACAACTTCCTCATCACTCTCATCTTCGATGACAAAACGTCGAGTCCTAGTTACATGTGGCCTTCCCTTTGTTGGTTGACAATCTTCATCCTCTAAATCATTTGCAGGTGAAGAAGGTTCACGATCACTACCTTTTGCCCTAGCCCTTATACCTGGGGCTTTTTTTGGTTTTGTTGGTTCATAATCGTCGTCTTCTAACTCAATTGCAGGTGAAGAAGGTTCTAGGTTCAATTTTTTTGTCCTAGCCCTTCCGAGGACATTTTTTGGTTCATAATCATCGTCGTCTGAATCACTTGTAGGTGAAGAAGATTCAGAGTCCATGTTCTTTGCTCTAGACTTAATTCCTGTGGTTTTTCCCACGACTGACTCGAAATCATCATCATCATCCTCTGAATCAAGTACATGGACTGGTTCAGGGTCGTTTCTTTTTGACCTAAATGCGAAGGATTCAATAGCGGGAAAAGCTTTTCCATTCTTGTAATGATCCTTTTCAGGGCGCTTCAGAATCTTTGAAAGCTTAAACGACCGGCCCTCCCATTCTTCATCTGATAGTTCATCAAAAACACGCTTCATTCTGATGAAGTAATGGAGATCAAAAGCCTGCAAATGGACCAACCCTCAAAGACTGTGCCGTAAAAAGAACATCAACTTCCATTAGAGCATACATGTAAAAAACCACCGTAGAACAAAAGAAGCAAATTCATCAAAAGGACTGCAGCTAACAGTTCAGCCAGAGAACTGTCAAATTAGTAGAGAGAGAGCAAAAATGGCAGGAAAACTAGAGAAAGAAACACAGAGAAGATAAGACATAGAGAAATGCATACAATTAGCGAGAGAAAGTAAGATGGAGAATCCGGAAGCGGCGAAATAGGGCGTAAAATTAGGGCTTTTCATGAGAATTTTAGAGAAAGAAAGGGAGCGTAAGACAGAGAGAACTCCCGCTAAAAGCAGTCGTAGATATTAAAGCCGTTAAGAGGTGTGGGGGTGGGTGGGTTATTTAGCTACTTGCGTCGTTAGCAAATACCCCAAGGACACGGTTTGTATGCGGCCAGCCAGGCCCGGCAATAAAATATATTTTTTAAATATAATTTGATGGAAATTCTGAATATGAAAAAAATAAAAAATAAAAAATAATAAATATATTAAAAAAACATTAATCCATTAGATGGCCTATCTATTTGCATCCATTTTTTATATGCATGCTTTATACCTCTAGACCCCTTAGTGTAGAAACGAGGTCCAACCCCCATGAAACAATTTTCCATACAGGGAAACTTCAAATGAAGTCAAGAAAGCTACAACAGCTACAACCCTTATTTTTAAGGTGAAATGGATGGTCTAGATAATTTGCTACAATATACACAATTTTTTGAACTTAAAATCCTAATTTTTTTTTACAAAACTAATACGTTAAAGCCGAGATTATTGATGTAAAAGTTTTCCAATACTTGAATTATAGTTTTTGATGAATTATGAGATGAGGCTTTGCTTATTTTAATCGGAGCCCTGTCAAACCATTTTCCAAAGTTAAAATCGTAAACTTTATTCAGGATGCAACTCAGTAAAGGTGCTTTGAAAAAAGAAGTAGAAAAGCTTCGTATCCAAATTTGTTCCACCTGTGATTGTAAAATTTATTGCTTAGAGATATTGTGAAATTTGGAATGCCTCAAAAGAAGGGTCTAAATAATAGTGTTATAATATATTATTTTAAAGCTTAAAATTATATATTTTTTTCAAAACCATAATAGTCAAAGTTGAGATGATCAATTTGAAAGTTTTTCACTATTGGATCTATAATAATTCAATAAGTTTTGAGGCACAAGTTTATTTTTTCCATAAAACCTTAACCTTATTTAATTTTTCTTTTTATTAAACAACATTATAATATTTTATATTGAGATATTTTAATACCCCTTAAAATTAGTGCTATTAAAGATAATTTTTTAATTTTATTGTATCTTTTTTTTTCTGTTCTTTTTATTATTATTACTTTATTCCTAAAATCCCACCATTTTGGATCTTCAAGATCCAATTTTAGATGCTGAAGACTCAAAGTCAAGCCCTCTTCCTCTATTTGTCTTATTCAAAAAATTGTCACAACTTCAAATCTCCAATATCCAAATTTGCATTTTACTTTTGTTCAGATCTCCAATATCCAAAATTACATTTTACTTTTATTCTTGATCCGAAGTCACATTTATCTTTATAAATGAGTACATGACTTCGGATATTCAAAATCGAAAAAATCAAATGTAACTTGAAAGAAGAAGACTCTAACCCACATGTGAGTTGTATATGGGAGCTTTGACTGCATATCTTCAAAATTTCAAGTTACAACGACTTGTCACTTCTGATCTTAAATATCCAAGTGGCAATCTGGATTAGCCAAAAAAAATAGTGATATGTCTGTAAAATATAAAAACAGGAGAAAATTCTTTAATAATGCTATTATGGTGTATAATAGCATAAATTTCTCTTTAATGTTCTATACATTCTTTAACATAATCGAAATACACAATCACGAGCTAAAATAGATGGAGAGCTTTGCATCGATCATTATATATGTGCTATAGATCTAAGGCCAAAATGTCTTATCAATGATTTAGAACGTGTTTCATATCCTAAATCTATAAAAAAAATTAGGGTGGACTCCTGACCCAGGGACATAGGTAGATTTTTCTTTCAATTTGAGAAGTATAGTCCTAAAATGTTTTGCCAAAATCCAAATATCAAATTTCATCATAAACTTCCACCCAATTTTAAGTCATAGCAATGGCTATCTTGTAGTGACCATCATCTCTATTTTAATATATCTTTATTTTATTTTACATATTAAAAAGACTGGCAGGTTTGGACAACACGTGGCATTCAAGAAATTACTACAAGGTTTGGATATTGGTTCGGATAAAAATATGGTACCCATATCTATTTTATGATAGGTGCATCTACAACTATCAAGTGATTGTGTTCCCTCACGTACATTCTATTTCGATAGAAAAACTTGTATAGAATTCTTAGAAAATAAAAAATTTAATTTTTTTGTACCAAGAGTATTCATTTGTGACCAAGAGTAGATTTCTAAATAACAGATCACGAAAATACTTCTCAATTTTTTTATAGAGTAGGTTTACAGTAGGAAAAGTGTTTGGTGAGTCAGCTGACTCACACTATTCTTGTATGGTCTCCCTACAAATTATATCCATGTATTTTCGATCCAAAATTTTAGAGTTCAATAATCTCAACCATGACGATGACCTAAATTTAGATTTTTTTCAAATAATATAAATGTTATTTTACCATTCGTTGTAACTTTTAATGGATGCAATATTTTTTTATATCCTTCTTATGGATGTTAGATAGACAAGAGACTCATGGTAATAGGTGAGTCGGCTGACTCACCAAAACTGTGTCCTTTATAGTATGCTCTCACATATGTTATACAAATTTCCAAACCCAAACAACTATGGCATTATTGCTACGTGGTAAAAATGCCAATAATTAATATACAATTTTTACAAACTGACCAATATCTTTAAAGGAAAAATAATTGAGCCCTTTATTTATTTAATAAAATACATCACTCCTTAAAAAGGAGCATCTAATAAAAAACACTTTACGTTATAGAATGAAAAATAATATCCAATTTAGTAAAATTTAAATTAATAGGATTTCCGAATACTTATTTAAAAGCTATAGATATATATAAGGTAAAATATCTTCCAAATTATTAATCATATTCCAAATAATTTTGTTCTACCAATATAGTTTTAAAAAGTCAAATTTTAAAAATCTATAAATAAATATAAATGAGTTTATTTCGACAATTACATTATTAATGCAAAACGAGTATAATTTATAATGCAAAACAGGCAGAAATATACTTTTAAAATATATTTATAATAATTTTTTAAAATCATAAAAAGAGGCAACATGGTCACTCACAATTTTATTATCAACCCAACACTTTAGATAATCAAATTAGAAGTTACAGGCAATAAATTTAAAAAGTGAGCACCAAAGGATTGTCATCAATAAAAAGTTAACTTTGAATTCTAATTAGGACACGGTTTCCATGCAGCCAGCCCGCATATTGTAGAAATGTGAGCTTGACAATAAATATATTTTCCAATTATAATTTCATCTTAATTTTTAGAGAATATATATTTTTTAACATGGAGATCATGAATATGAAAATAATAATAATTGAAAACTAAAAATAATAATTATATTTAAAAAACATTTGGACCATTAGTTATACTTGTTTGTAGATGGACCACCTATTTGCATCCAGCTCTAAGATGGATGCTTTATACCTCTAGACTGCATGCTTTAGAAATACGATCCAACCCATATGAAACAATTTTCATTCAAATAAACCGTATACTTTTATAATATCAACGTACTAATTGAGAAATATAATATTATTTTTTAGTTTAAAAATTATTTGTGACTCACAATACACATTTAACTAAAAATTGAATCTAAAATAGTTCATTATTAGTATTTTTTTAAAAAATAGGGCAGTATTATAATTTGAAATTTTATAATCAAGTTTCATATATTAATTAAAAGAAAAAATTGCTCTGCCCGTCGGGGGACGCATTTGTGCCCCTCCGAGGCACAAAACATCCATTACAAAGATGGATACATATGGTAGGCGGTCCCTCTAAAAAAATTGGAACTAACGGTCCAAATTTTTTCTTAATAAAATTAGTACTTTTAATTTTCTTTACATAATCATGATCTCCTATTATATATTCCTTAAAAATTGGATAAAAAAATTCCATATCAAAAATGGATTTCTAAAAGGAGACTCATTCCTACATATGGTATCATATAAACCATGTCCTAATTAAAAATAGTCAAAATCATTTGAAAATCATAAATGTTATTACTTAAAATTAAAATAAGACATTAGTCCTATTGCACTTTGAAAATAAATACATATTGGAACTTTTGTATCGATAAAAATACTAATTTCACCTTGAGTATTTCAAATTTAATAAAACTATGAAATTAAAAATTTATTTTTTAAAACAATTATTATTCATAGAAACTTATTTTATGTAAGTAACATTATTAACATTATTACTTGTGAATAAATAATTTTTTCCCATTTTCGTTATAAAAAAATTGGATATTATATTAAACCACAGTCAAGGGTAGGGCACACGTCTTTCTTTTGATGAAATATCTAATGAAAGTAAGATATGATAAATAGCCTCCTTACTTTAGGTGATTTAACAGAAGATGGTTACATTCCCATTAGAAAAAGAGGGAGGAAATTTGCAATAACCCTTGACCCTCCAAGGAAAATACTACATATCCTTTAGAGCGAAAAAAAAAAATTGATCTGGACTTTCCCTGGATAAAATGTGCGGGTAGAAATCTATATTGCAAATTTGCAATAACCTTTTTAATTGTGTTATCGAGATTGGGTTAAAGAGGTCATTCTGGTTGGACTGTTTGCAAATGAGCATAGAGAAAAACTCACAGCTACGTGTTTTTCTTTTTTCTTTCCAACTTTTATCACTATGATACATGTCAAAAATTAGCTTCAAGTAAAAATAAATAAATACATAAAGAAATAAAAAGCTTCACGCTACTGGTATCTTTGGCTCTCCCAGATTTACAAAGGCCTCTGCTCGGATCATGCGCAACGCCACCGTATGCCATGACACGAGATGATTCAAGAATGTCATCACGTATTTTTCTCTGTCATCCTGTTCAAACATTCTCAGATTTAAAACATGACTTGCATGAACTCTTTCTTTCTATTTTTCTTTTGGGTAGTTCAATAACTCTAAGTTGGGAATAGTGATGCAACTGTCAATACCTTAACCAATTAATTCCAAGCCCAAAAGTCTTAAACACGTCTATAGGCGAAGTGCTACAGTATTTCGCCCTGTCACGGACATACTGCTTAAAATCCGTCACGGACCTACGGGAGCTATGGCAGTGCCCCCATATTTTTTATGTCAAATTTATGTGAAAAAAATCGCGTCAAGGACTCGCTATGTCCGTGACGGACCGCCACGAACATGCTAGGTCCATGACAGTGTTTAATTCACGCCATCCGAAAAAATCGGACGGCGTTGAGCCTATGGGCGAAAATACTGCTCATTTTCGCCCATAGGTATTTTGTAGTATCTTCCATATATATATATATATATATAAATTGAGATTAGGAATGCAAAATGCATTCAATCTAAAATATTAGAGAGTTCAAATACTCCCACAAATTATCACGGAGAGAGAGAGAGACTCGATCATTCCAACAGATTCTGGGCTGCATCATGTGCCACAAGAGAGAGGAAGAGTGGGGTGTGGGATGAAAAAAGAGCGACGAAAGTGAAACTCAGTCATTCCAACATATTAGGGCTGCATCATGTGCCCCAGGAACATGGGAGAGAGGAACGGCGGGGTGGGAGGTAAAAAAAGAATGATTTAGAGTTTAGTCACTACCACCAGAGTTTGGATGGTTTAATGCGAATTTCATTATAAAGGGTCGTTTGAATGTTCAGGGGCAGTTTTCAGCAAGGAAAAAGGGAGGCCAGAAACTAAAAATGAAATTCCCATCCAGGTGGGCTGCCCACAGGTAAAGTATTCTCGAAGAACTAGTTTTCCCGGAAAAGAAAAAACTTAATGATTCACACCAGCTTTTATCATATACAAGGTCTTTCTTGTCATTTAGTTCACTCAATTAAAAAACAGTAAACATGACTGTCACCATTATCGATCATTCAGAACTTTCTTGCAGGTGGGATGGAGGAGTTAATTTGATACGAAGAAAAGAAAGAAAACCAATGTCAGCAACAAAGTATAAAATAAAACAAATGGTTATATTTCCATGAATAAGCTACAAAATATCGTAGGAAAACTGACGGATAGTTCTCTCATACCTTGTAATCCAAGTAGTATGCATGCTGCACCATTCGCCACATCAAAGTAAAATATCAGCACATATGCTACAAAAATCCAACAATAATAATAATAATATTACCTCCCACATATCAAGACCGATGATGGGCTGCAAGAATGAAGAAATTACAATGTCAAGAGCATAACTGACTCAATAATAGATGTAAAAAGCTACAAAAAAAGGGCCCACATTTAATTTAAACGATAAGGAGAAAGCGACTTTAAAGTATCAACTTACTATTTCACCCCCAACAAGTGGATTTACAGCATTAGAAGTTTTCATCACAGCAAACTTCTTTTCCTTGGTTTTTACTGAGATAAGAAAAGGGTGCAAGTCAATATGAGAACAAAGTAAATATTCAATATTTTATTAGTAAAATTACAGAATTTACCAAATGTCGGTGAGCAAATATCCATCCTCTAAAAAAAGGAGGCTACTTCTAAACTATAATAGAAACCAAGGTATTCATTGGATGATACAATTAACTAACAAATTTGGTAAGAAAGAAATTAGGTAATCAGACAGCAATGCAAGAAGAATAAGAATGTGGAATTGTGGATGAGAGAGAAATTATGTGATTAGTAATGCAATGGTAGAAACACTGGGTGAGAGAAACTTATGGCTCCACTCACAAACAAGCCACACCCAGCCCGAGCCAAAAAGCGAAAGGGCTGCTTCTACAAATTCATCTCTAAATTTTTCTAGTGAGCCGAAATCCTTCTCAATTTGTTGAAGAACACCTCCCCAAGGTGACTTGCCACCATCTGGCTGCATGGACTCCCAGAAGAAGTCGTGGTTCCAAAGCTGAAAGAAACGCATCCGTTTATAAGTGCGATCAGACTGTAAGAAATTGTTTATGATCGGTTTTCACATAAGAAATGCATTTTGAAAATGCAACTGCATAAAATTCATTTTGAAAATGCACTTTGAAAACACAAATGTTTGTAGTGTATGACAAGAGCTTATATGTTATCAGAACAACAGAACTTCAGAGACGTGTTTATATTTCTCGAACAATATTTTTCTATAGTACATTACTCTCATAGTGAAACAATTTTAAATTTTACTCCGGTGATTAAGATGCTTATTCATTGTGTGCATGTCATTGCACATAACTGTGACTTGTTGAGCAATCCGATTTGAATACATTCTTAGATAAGAGCACATACTAGGTTAGTTTCTCTACTTTTCACTTTATGAAATAAGTTGAAGCATATATAAAACAAACCATCACATGAAGTGGCTTCAAATAGCAGTTTTAGCACTCAATATCACTATGCACTTAGGTTGACACGCACCACATACAAAGTAGAGGAACCCCGATTATGAGCTGACCTTACTCAATTATTAGCTGTCCTTCCCTCTTTCTTGTGCCAGCAAAAGAAGACTAGATCACTCCAGCAACCTCTACACTCTAAACCTTTCTTGATCAGCTTGGCATTATAAAGAACTTAGCGAACCTTGATTTTGTTATCTACAATATCTGCCCCCTAATCAAGATCAACAACAAAGATTCTAGGCTGAGGAGCTTCAATGTTGGAACTGATTGCTAATGAGCGGGCATAATCGTGTTTTGACCCCTGGATTGGCTTCTGAGTTGCTACCAGCCTAAGACCTTCTGGAATGTAAACCTCCATCTACAGAATAGACTTAACAGACGAATGATCATGAACTACTACAACGAAATGCTAATGGTGACAGTTACTGAATGGCCCTAATGGCAATTCAATCCCAGTATTAGCTTCTGAGACTTGTTATCAGCCCTCTACTTTGCACAATAACAATAACCCTTTCATCCTCTTTCAACCTATATCAAAAGCAGTTTTATTTTCCCTAGCCCTTACTAGCAGTTTTATTTTCCCTAGCCCTTACTAGCCTCATTCCATTTTGCACAATAACCCTTTCATCATCTTTCACCCTTTAGCAACAGCAGCTTCCCTTTACCCTAGCCCTTACTGGCCTCATCTTCATATCATCAAATGTTTTTATTAGTAAAAGTAATCTCCACTTGTCCAATTATTATCCTACTCACTGACATTACTGTTCCCATACGCATCTTTCCTCCAGGATGCCAAAGAAATGTTGCACAAAATAATCTACTACCAAAAAGAAGAAATAAGGGGAAAAAAGAGTCATCTTTGATAATCAATTTGTTACCGCAAAACAGCACGCCCTTGAGCCTCAAAAATTTCACTTTATGAAAGAAAGAGTACTACCCTATGTTATGGATTCTTAGGATTGTGTGCCATATTCGTGTCGTACACATATAGACACGCATACAGACATATAATCTTGTGGATTATGCTTCTTGTTCACTGACCATTGACCACATCATTAATATAGATTTCAATCTTCTATTTTGTTTTGAGTAGACACATCAATTTCAAAAACATGTAGCCGAGTCACTGAATACTGCCCTTATGGACTAGGGAATCTAATGCCCCTTACCTGCGTCTGACACTTACACAAGTATCCGTGGCAACATGGGTACTACCATGCAAGAAAGTGATTGAAGGCCTCCAACCAAAACCATGGAAAGGGTGAGGTTGATGACACAGTTTCTACACAAACTCAGGGTATAGGAGTGACTGACATTGTACTAGATTTCAAATATATAGAGTGTCAAATGAGAAGTTGATAATCTCAGGGAAAGTTGTTATAGACAATGCTAACAAAAGAAATGGAAGAAACAGTTCGCCTAAGATTGAGATGTCAGTTAGTGAATAACATGATGACATTTAAGTTGTTATATCGTTACTGATATTCCACATTAGTTGGTAAGACACCATGAGATAACACTCAATTAACAGATTAAAACCAGAGTAGTAGGATAAAAACAGAGCATCTCAAAAGTCGTTAATTTTGATCAAATTTGCTAGAACATATTAAAACTATGGAAATCTTAAATTGCACTTAACAGCAATCATGAGGGATGTAAGAGGGGATTCCAAACAATCCTTCACAAAGGTAGTACTTCAGTCGGTCTCAAGTTTCATTAAAATAAAGACAACACAAACTAGAACAGCATGTTTACCCATAAGAATCAATAAGAGATGCATTTGACCCTATAGAAGTGGAATTTTTTGAGGATTTAATTAAAGCTCATTCACAAATTGATAATGGATTGATCGTTTGAAACTTCCAATGCAAACAAAAACTCAACTATTTCGAGATATTCACCGGATAATAGAGCAAATTTGTGGATAAAAAATCACCGACTTTGTATATAATTCAAAGCTCACATGATGGATTTGAAGAGAAATGTTCAAAACTTCGTAGAAGGAAATTTTAAACATGATCCTCCATTTTGAAAAGTAAAAAGCTTTGAAAAATTGTAAAGATGTCAATACCATCAGGAACAGCCCAATATCAAAATGAAGATAAATTCAAGTACTGAATCCATAAAATCCAACTAAACATACACAAAACTGTCAGAATAGAAAAAGAGGTCTGCAGAGCATTCATCAAAAGAGAAAACTTAGTAACTGTCCGCCACAAAGAGAGAAAATTAATAAAAAATTGTCCCCCATTTAAATGAAAATCATCTAACAATTACAATGCCTGTCAATAGACCCATAGATAAGCACCACCACATAATTATCTGGACCAAAAGAAGATTCATTGGCACACCTGTGCAGCATTATTAAATTCAGGCATTGGGTTCCCATTGTTATAAGTAACTTTCACCAGCTCTTCCAAGGTATGGCCATATAGTGGACTGTTCTCGAGCTGCTTATTCAAGCCATCAACATATTCCTGATGGTGTTTCCCCCAATGCACTTCAAGAGTTCGTTGACTCATATAAGGTTCCAAAGCATCCTGGAAGTTGAGCAAACATAAGTGTTACCTTTGTAACTTACATTTATCCACCAATTAGCAACTAACACCTATCCAAAGTGTGCATTAGTGATATATTGATATTGGAGTAGAAATCATAATCAAGAGAAAATTTATCAGGAGGTAAAGGTCGTCGTAATCAAATGTACTGTGGTACTACTCCTATTCAAATGGACTATGGTACTACTCCTAGTCCATTTGGGTCATCACGATCCAATTAATTATACGATGGACTGTGATGGAGAGAGACCACAAATGATGGACAGTGATGACCCAGAAAACTACGCATATCTCATAGTCCATTGCATTATCCTATATTATAAGCAAGTCATTTGAAAATAAGATGATCTTGATCCTTCCCCCACCCCAACAAAGAGAATACATCATAGTTAGAACTTCACATTAGACTCAGATCTGTGGCTTACCAGTTTATAAGGAGGAGTTTTGCGACCATAGAAAGCCAAAACTCGTGAATCTCGCAGGGACTGCTTGTATCTCTGTGATAACATCAAAAGAAATCATCGACGATTACAAATACCTAGAGTGGTGTTCACCTTAAATTTGTGCAGTTTATCAAAACCCTACCACATAAGCAAGTAAAGCAAGAAATATTGATCGCCAACATTTCAGAAAAAAAGGGAAAGAAAGAAATATTGAACAGCTGGTTAGTTTTATTTACCAGATAAACTCTCCTAATTATTCTTGTCTTGCTCCAAGGATAAGGACCTTTGCCATGGCTATTTCCAATGTTTTTATTTGTTTATTGAAGGAAAAGGCAAAGACAGATGGGATTCATATAAGAATATAATCAACCAATAGGGTAATTATTGGACTGAGTTCGTGCATTAGCAGGACCAACACTAGCAGCATAGGTAGATTTAGGTGCCTAATAGTCCTAATTACAATTAGTAATTAAATCTATTTGGTTATTTCATTTCATACATTTTTTTTAAGTCCAATTTCCATCAACAGATGATTTAAGCAAGGAGAGATTGCACAGACAATATGAATTTTCTGAAGTTGGTTTCAGCCAACATGCACTGATGCATTGACTTCATTCACTTCACAACAGTAGTGATAAACTTGTATCTAATCCAAAACTACAAGTTTCGCATCAACAAATGATAAGCTGAACTTAAGTTCATAAAATGCAAACTTATTGTATAATCCTTGAAATCAGCCCTTCCAAACCTTTCACACACACAAAATTCACAAAGCCATGCTAGTCCAAAGAAGGCTACAAGCATGAAATGATGAAACCAGTGTTGTATGATGTAGAAAGAGAAGAAAACCTGTGACCCAACACCTTCGCTCCCAAATCACAAAATGACAGTAGGGCTCAAGAAGCAAAACACATTTCTTCTTCAGATTAATTGGTCCGCAAAGAAAAAGAAGCGGGAGAAAATCCTGGAGTAATAGACATAAATGCAAGTAAAACACAACAATGTTTATTTTAAAAGGGATGTCGAACTTCAAAATACTATGAATTACTGTCAAGGAACAGCCAAGGGCAAACAAGAAGCAATGATGCATAATTGGGTCTGGAGATTTCAGACAGGGAAATATGAAGACCACCAATCTTCAGTGCAAGTAAACCAGTGGTCAAAAACACGTATTGGGCTCAAAACTTCACACCTGCCCGAGCCAAGTAACTCGAGACCAAGCAGTAATTAATCAAGGAGAATATACTGATTTCTAATTTTTCCTCTTCAAGAGCCATCATGGGAAATGCTCTATAACAAGATACAAAAGAATTCCTCTACAGAGAATATTAAAAATGACAGAAATCCTAAATCCTGGCAAATGAGTTTTACTTGGTTTCTACAATAAGCATATGACTTGAACAAATTTCAACATTTATAGCAATTTTTCAAAATATGAACCACCGAAACATACCTTTTGAAACTTGGAAAGCTTTAATGGCCTACATATGGGATTCGAGATTACGCGAGGAGCGGACTGTGAATTGCTATGAAACCGAAGGTTTGGCAAAAGTAGTAATTGGGACGCCATAGCCATCATGCCTTCTTACAGTTCTACCTTCAACTACAACCCAAAAACAGGTCCGCTGAATCCATCTCTACGAGAAAACATACAACGGGGTCTCTTTCTCTCTCTATTAGTTGGGCTGCAATCCTATTACATTATCCAAAGAATAAAGAAGAAAACAAGTGAAAAAACATAACGAGTGTTGAACTATTGTACTCACCCTTGGACAGCAATATACTGGAGAGCAATGCGGAGCTTCATCAAATTGAAAAATCTCAGACGAGAGACAGAGAGAACACGGGAGTGAAGTGCAATTATTTCAGTGTAAAATGAAAATTTAGATAGAGAAAGACAGAGAGAGATTTAGGGTTTAAGCCTTCCCGCGCCCAGCTTCCAAAACAATTTCTAATGATAGAACGAAGGGAAATGGGAATTTACTATCTGTCTTTTGTGGTTGTTAGTAGATAAGGTTTTTCTCCCTTCTAACCCTCGAGACAGGGCTAGCAATCTCGTCGGGTAAATCTGACCCGGTCGGTATCCGAACATTGTACTGGGCGGGTTGGGTCCATGTCCATTTGAATGCGGGTTGGGTCCACGTCCATTTCACTTGGATCCGACTAGGGTACGGTGCCGGTCCATATAGGACCATACTGAGTCAAGTAGGGATCCATGACTACAAGCACATGAAAATCTTGAACATTCATAGTACAGATAATATGTTGTAAGATATCATATTTTTGGGACTATAAAATCTCTTTTTTTAACCATATTTATATATCTCAATGTCGATATAATCAATTAGATATTTTTCTAACATCAAAACATCATTTTTGGAAGTATTTTTGAAGTGCACCTCACTTCTACATTGTAAGATGTCAACCTTCTATAAACTTTTTTCTAAACTAATAAATATAAGAGTAATGATCCTATGAGACCTTCCTACACCCATGTGTGTAGGATTCCAAAAGATCACCATTAAATTTGACACAGATCTCTAAAAAAATCAAGTTTCAAACCCATGAGATAACTTTTATAGAGATCTGTGCTAAATTTAATGGTGATCCTTTGAGGTCCTACACACATGGGTGTGGGAGGGTCTCATAGGATCATTACTCTAAATATAAAGAGGGTTTTCCTAATGTGCGGTTTGTATAGAGCCGAGGCTCTAAACAATCAAATTAGAGCCCATCTTCAAATAGTGTCAAGAAATATGGTTTTAATATTAGAAATTTTGTAATAACCTTAAAATGTATTTTCATCTTTAATTATAAAATTTAAAACTTCAAAAATAGTGTAGATCGAGTAGATCTATGAAAAGTTGAAAATCTTGAAAATTGACAGTCAAAAAATACGATACAAGATGCACTATTTCCAAAACTTGACATCCATTTTTTTGTGTGTCCATGAATCTTGATGTCGAGATGATCAATTTGATGTTATTTGGGTATCAAAACAACCTCGTCTAAACTTTTTTCTTTCCTAATATAAGTTTATTTACTTTAATACAAGGAGGTCATAAATATTTAGCCATTGGATGTGTGAAATGACAAATTAAAGTATGTTACAAAATTCAAAAAAGTTTATTTTAAACGTTCTGCCTACACATCCCCCACCATTTGATTTTACCTAAGATGATTATTAATGATTGTGATGTGCCTATACCAAAAGTAAATAATCTTATTGTAGTATTAAATACATAATGAAAGATTTACATTTGAGTTCGGATCCAAAAATGACCTAGTGGGTCGGTCTGGGTCCTTACACAAAAACATGTCACATGTTTAAATTAATGAGTTTATGAATAGAGTTGGCAATAGGTCTGGTGGGCAGGGCTTGACTTTAAAAACTAGGGCCCGAGGCACAAGATTTGGCCGAAGGGTGGCAAAGATAGGGAACCCGGCCAATGTTTGGGCCTTGGTTGGTCTAGCCCTGGCCGAGGCTGTTGGCAGCCCTATCCATGAGCTCATGAGTACTAAGAATTAGACATCTTGGTTGAAGATTTCTTCAACATTGACTCAATTTTATTATTCTTATTATTTCGTTCTCCTAAAGCCTATAATTCTTTGTTCGATTATTGTGAAGAATTACATGGTTTTCTTCTTCTTGTATCAGTTATTATAGGAGTAAAAATTCTTATAATATCATTTGTTATTTTAGCTCTTTTTTTGGGTAATTCAGTGGGAAATATAGACTTTTACCAGTTTTTTAAATGGTTTGGTTTTCGAAGCTGTAAGTGGAAGTGACTAAGGTATGAGGCCCACTACCATGTTACTTTTTTTGATGAAATGTTTTGCTTATTTTTGCCTACCCTATTTGGATTCGGTTACATATCAGCATGGCTCAAAAAATATATGGTCGAACGCTTTATATAATTATATTTCCTCAAATTAAATATAATTATATTTCCTACAAGAAAAAAGTTTATATAAAGCCTACGCTTTACCATAAAAGATAACGCCACAAATCAAAATCTTGTTAAGAAATGGAATTTCAACACTAGAAAACTCTCAATTTTGATCATCTCAAACCCTATAATCATGGATATGTAAAAACATATTCCAAATGTCAAGAATAAGAAACATATTATCTAGACTATCTATCTTTATGTTCTCTCACATTTGCTAGTTCTATACAATTTTTAAAGTTCTAAATTTTATAATTTATAATGAAAATAACTTTTCAAACCATCATAAGAGATTGTTGGCCTTTTGAGGTGCGGCTCTACGATTTAGTGCAATGCTAAGGTATTACATTGGCCAAACCCTTTCCCCATATAATAGATAACAAATATGGCAGTAAGGCTCTTCTGTAGTACGTTAGAGATCATTGTCGATTGTGTAGTAATTAGAAGTTCATAATACTTAGGATTAGGTTTGGGTGAATTGGATGAGTTTCATCTTCGTGATAACACACACATCAGAGAACGCCCACACACACCAAATCTAGAGAGAAAACATTGATGTGTTACAAAAAAAAATACCGGAGTATAAAACCTAGACTTGTGTCCACGAAGCCGTCGTCCTATCTCTCAGTTCCCATGATCACCCCACTCATTCCGCCATGGTCCTATACATTGATTCCCATGTTCACGCAATACACCTTTTCTGACTTACAGGGAAGAAGATCACATTGTTATTCTCTCTATAGGACGTGCCTCTCATGACTCTCTCTCTCTTACGATCTCTATCAGCCTATCTTTCTTTCGCGGCCCTAATAGCCTCTTTTTCTCTCTCTAACATTATTGCTCATCACTCTAGATTTAGCCCAATTTGGGTGAACCACATAAATCGGTATGTACTTTTTGTTTTGTGGTTGTGTTGTGTTTGTTGGATTCTAATTCCATTTATTTTTTATTTTTTTTACATTTTATCATATTTATTGCACATATTATTATTATTGATAATCTGATTTGCTTCAAATTGACTCGCCCCTACTTGGTAAGTCGCTTTTAAAGTTTGGGATTGATGTAGTGACGAGCTCACCGCATCAAGTAGGGATTGGGGTTATTGCGTAATAAGATTGTTACCTTTTGTGCGACAAGGAACCTAACATCAGTTGTGAATGGCTAGTTATATTATTTCCAGACATAGAGTCTCAAAAAAAGTTCCCAAATGCTCAGTTTGACGTCTAACTGTTAGGGGTGATTATGATCGTTTTATACCAAAAATAAACAATTTTTTATTACTGTTTCTATGATGATCTTGGGATATTGTTTTCGGTCTAGTAGCCACTCATTGTATTTTTTTTACAAAGTTCAAGAATTAAATTGCAAACCTATAGTTTGACACATCAGCAGTCGTATCAAGACCGCACCAGCCAGTCTAACACGTTAAAGTGTTGACTAAGCCTCGGCCGGTTCTTTTCAAAATAAAAAGTTAATTTTATTGAAAACTAGTCAAAATCAATGTTTGATTTTGGAGGTTAGTCAAAACAATTGGTTTTAATTGTTATACTGCCTAAATAAGATAGAACAACAAATTCATTTTGTGATGTGATTCATAGTGTGAAATATTTTTCTCTCTAATCTTTTGATACATGATTTGACATACAATTGAATGGAGGTTGATTTGACCACGCCCCTAACTTGTTCAGCGTCGGTCTAATTTAGAGGTTGATTTGGCCACGCCCGTAACTTGTTCAATGCCAATCTAATGAAATGAACACTAGCACAATTTCATAACCTGGAGGTGACTAGACAAGGCCCTTAACTGGTTTGGTGAATCCAATTCGATTTACACTAGAACGCAACACCGTGACGAATGAACACATTGAGGGTATTACTCATATAGGAAAAGAAATGGAGATATCAAGGATGCAAAATCTTCCTTTGAAGTTACTTACATATTCCATCTCTTTGACAAAGGCCAAAACGGTGGATAAGTTCACTAAGTTGAGTGTAATGAATACAAAATTATTAACTTAAAGGCGAGACCTTGCCATTACTTGGTGGTCCACATATTGGTGATCCTTCACACTGGAAGATGGCTGGTTGTTGAGAGAAGGGGTTCTCTTCAAATTCGGGTGGGACGGATTGTGTGTGGCAAAATCTTTGGCCCATTCCCTAAGCTGAAATTTTCGTATCTTCCCAGTCCCAGTCTTTGGCAACTCCCCCAAAAACACCACCTTCTTTGGGAGCTTGTAACCTGCCATCTTGGTCCTGCAAAATGAAATGAGTTCTTCCTCTGAGAGATCTTTGGAGCCCTTTTTCAGGCTAACAAAAGCACAAGGGGATTCCCCCCAGTGATGATTTGGCATCGCCACGACGGCGACCTCGGCTATTTTGGGATGCCGATAGAGCACGGACTCCACCTCGACACTGCTGATGTTCTCGCCTCCGGAGATGATCACATCCTTGAGCCTGTCCTTGATCTCCACATAGCCATCAGGGTGGATGACAGCCATGTCACCCGTGTGGAACCATCCTCCCTTGAAGGCCTCAGTGGTGGCTTTGGGGTCCTTGAAGTACCCCTTCATGACACTGCTTCCACGCAAGATGATTTCACCCATGGTGTGCCCGTCGTGCCGCACACTCTGCATCGTCTCAGGGTTCACGACATCCGCATCTGCGAGGCTCAGGACACTGATCCCTTGTCTAGCCTTTATCTGTGAACGCTCCTTACTTGGCAGTCGGTCCCATTCCGAGAGCCATTCACAGACTAGTGCCGGGCCCGTGGCCTCCGTCATGCCATACGCATGGGTGATATGGAACCCCAGCCGCTCAATCTGATCGAGCAACGAAGCAGGCGGGGGAGCACCGCCGGTCAAGATCCTGACTGGTTTCTTGAGCCTGTGCTCATCGGCAGGGTTCAGCAAGAGATTGAAGATAATCGGAGCAGCACACATGTGCGTCACCCCATGCTCGGAGATGGCACGGTATATATCCGGAGCGGTAGTGTTGCGCATACAGACGTTTGTGCCACCGCGTGCGGCAATCCCCCAGGTGAAGGTCCAACCATTGCAGTGGAACATTGGCAGACTCCATAGATACACAGCCTCATTGCCAACCTCCCACTGGAGGAGAAGACTAAGGGTACTAAGATAGGCCCCTCTGTGACTGTACACCACACCCTTCGGTGCCGAGGTGGTCCCTGATGTGTAGTTCAGCGAAATCGGATCCCACTCATCAGCAACTGGTGGGGGCATGTAAGTCGGATCCCCGGCCTCAACCAATTGCTCGTACTCCACATGTTGGGGACGCATCGTAGACGGTTGGTCCGCATCATCAATGAAGATCACAGTAAGGGGGTAAGCAGAGTGGGAGCCAGATGAATCACCACAGAGGAGGTTCAGGGCAGCTTGTGCCAGGGCAAAAAACTGATAATCAACAAAGAGAAGCTTGGCACCGGAGAGGCGAAGTATGGTGGCCACCGTATTGGCGTCAAGGCGAATGTTGATCGTGTTCAAAACGGCTCCAGCCATGGGTACAGAAAAATGTAGCTCATACATGGCCGGAATGTTTGGGGCCAGCACAGATACCTGCATCAGTAAGAACAAATTGAATTAGATAAACAAAGATAGCCATTTACTTGTTAAACACCTGCATTACTGAGAACAATCTGAATTGGAAAATTTAATATTTGACTTTTTTTTTTACTTTAATAGCATTGCCTCTAAGACGCCAACTCATTCAAGTAGTCAAGGATTGACTCCTAAGTAAATATGGGTGTTTATTAATTAACACCTACATCAGCAAGATCAACTTGAATTAGAAAAATTATATAGGTTTTTATCAATCAATTTCTTTCAAGTAGTTGAGACTTGAACATTGAGTTTTGGAAATTATTTGGTGAGAGATTTAGGACTCGAAAGACATCTCAGATCGCAGAAAATCTGTTTCCGCATCACATCCATGAATTTGAAGCTTCAAAAACATAGAAGATCTGATTATCTTATGTTTTTTTTTGCATTCATAATTGTGGTGGGTGAGATAATCGACCAATAAAAATTAAGATCCAAAATTCATTCCCACTCGAGATGGATACTGGACGAATGGACTCACTGTAACAGATGCGTCCCCGGAAGCACCTAAACTAGTGTTATAGAAATTGCAAACCGTTAAAACGTTGACTCATGAACCCATGTTATAAAAACCTGAAGTCATTCTTTCTTTCGTTTTTTGACCAAAAAACTGAGTCATTCTTTTGTATTAAAATTGTTTTAATTCCAAACTAACTGGTTCAAAGTTGAACTTGAACCACAACTACTTTGACCCCTTTTTAACTTCAATTAACTTGTGCAAAGTTGAACAAAGACTAACTAGGAGTGAGAATTACTAAAATAAATGATGGAATCTAGGGTTTGTACGTACCCCAACCCAGCTTTTCAAATGGGCGTATATATTTTTTTCTTTTTCAAATATATTTATTAAAAACAAAAAAACAAAGTTTGAATAATTATATGCTCATGTGGGACTATATAGTAGGTTTACTCCCTCCGGTAGGTCCTTCATTAGGAGTATTTATAGAACCCTAATTAGGAGTATTTATAGGCCTCGGGGGAATGGAGTTTGGGCATTGGTGGATGGTTTCGAAGGTGGATGCCTCATCGTAGAGCACTATTCAAGAAAAAAAAAAAAAAGCTCTTAATTTTTGAGATTCAACTTCTTCAACCTAGCTACAAATATCCTAATATTACACAAATATTGTTCAATTTTTTACAGTTAGATCTAATTCTTAGATGGGTGAACTTTGTATAAGGTGTCAACCTTATATTATTGAAATATAGTGCACCTCTAACTATGCTGAAAATGCAATTTTGGCACTACAAAGTCTTGTGATGATAGGAAAAATTACTGCTATCCCCAATTATGAAATTTAAAGTTCCAAAAATAGCGATGATAAAGCAGATCTACGCAAAACTGAGAGAGCGAGAGAGTCTTCACTGAAGGCAACAATGGACGTTTTCGAAATTAACATGTGCCCAAAAACGAGAGAGAGAGAGAACATTGAAGTCAACAATGGAAGTTTACAAAATTGACGTGTGCCCAAAGCTGCTGTTCTGTCACTTCCTCTTTCTCTCTCATGTGCGTGTTTCCTTGGTTTGTGTTAAACTGGGGCAGAGCTTTTATGGGTCTGAGCAGTTATGCGTGTATCTTGTTTGGTTTGTGTTTGGTTGGAGTTTTTTCAACTCCCAAAAAACTGGAAATTTCAACCAATCACAAAGGAAACTCATTACTTCCACTTTCTCACTCCTCTTTTTTTCACTGAATCACTTTCTCATACCCCCTTCAAAATTAGTCCAATACCCATTAAACCCAAAGCCTAACAACGTAATTAACCTGCCTAAAACTCAATTAACGGCGCCGGAAACTTACAACATCGTTCTTCTCTATGTTGAAGTGTCGCAGGGATGATGCAAGGCGACGGCATCGCTCTCTGGTTTGCTCCCACGTGTACCTGACCCTCCCATAGACGATCGAAATCCTCTTAGAATAAACCGCCCCCGCCCTCTCTAAGAACGAAACAGGCGTTAGAGGTGCATGATTCGCCTGGTTTTTGCCGAGAATTTCCATTTTTTTTTGGCCACAATATGGAAGTTTCAAAGAGAAAGTGAGATGAGGAAGACAATGGGGGTACACCGGGAGTTTAGCGAGAGAAAGTTGGGTTTGGGAGTTAGAGAGAGAAGAATGGGTTTGGTGGTCACAAGCTCGGGGCGACGGGTTTATATAGGGGCTTGATGAGAGACAAGGTGTTGCGTGTGGGGGCCAATATGGTAAATTTGCCTGGAACTTACAGGCGAAGTTGCAAGGCGCATGGCCTTGGAAATTCGAATGTGAATGAGGTCCTTTATGGCATGACCATACACGTTAGTATGGGGACCTGAACGACTGTCACTGCCCCTGCGAGCCCCCACAATTGTTCCAAGATTGATAGGGTATTTGGGGCAAAATGGTCATTTTCCAAGGGAGTGAGAATGGGGGGCAAAATAGTCTTTTGAAGAGGGGGTGGGTAGAAGGGTCAATTTACAGACCGACATAAGCATCCAATTTTGGGGGAGGGGGTATCATGGGTAAAATGGTCATTTTGAAAGGGTATGAGGATTCTTCTGGGGCCGGGAGGTTTGTAAGATGATCTGGTGAAGAGCGTGGTCGTACGGTGATTGTAGGTCAGAGGACCACATTACAAGGCTGATGGGACGGTTGGGGTCGAGGGTTATATGGCCATGGGTGGTGTGAGAATGTGCGTAAAATGGTATATTTGGTAGGGGTGGCACTCACCTCAATCCTTTTGTAGATATGTGCAAGAATGGTGTAAACGTTTAGAATATGGAAGAGGTAGTTTGAATGGAATTTAATGTCTTGTTGTTGCGGCTACTACTATTTTGAAAATCTCGATAAAATGGTTAATTTAAAAAAAAAAGTAATGATCTTATGCGGGTTTCTCATACCTAAATACGTAAGATTTTAAAAGATTATTATTAAATTTGGCACAAAACTCTTAAAAAGTCGAGTTTAAAAAGTATTGATCCGATGAGAGCTTTCCACATTCTGTGTAAGACTTCAAAAGATCATCATTATATTTGGTACAGATATCTTAAAAAGTCAAGTTTAAAAAAATCAACTCTCATATATATGAGATAATTTTTCTAGAGATCTGTATCAAATTTAATGGTGATTCTTTCGAATCTTGAGTGTAGAAAGGTCTCATAGGATCATTAGTCTTTAAAAAATAATTGGCACAGTAATAAAATAATCATTTTTTGGCATGGGGTAAGACATAGGGGCATAGTTTCGTCATATTAAGCACATGATTAATTTGGATATTTTTTTATTTTTTAAAATTATTCAATTTTAGATTTTGTTTGGATTTGAGGGTATGGTTTTTACTCATACTGTTTGGCTCTTTTTCCAGCCTAATTAACATGGACTCGACCGAATTCCTCGGCCTCACAAGCAACCTGACTCCATAGTGAAGCCATGGAATATAACACTAGAAGGTTGCATGGGGATGGAAGGCAATGATGGATGATAAATAGTCTATCTTTTTTCGACTTTCAAAATTGAGAGAATTAATATAGCTTCAAGGCGATGATGGATGATAAATGCTGTTAAATATTCAATTTCTTTTCTAAAAAATAGGGTTGCTGGGAAATTACACATGGCCAAATGAATCTTAAACTCTTGGATAAATTGCAATGTCAAGTTCAGATTTTTAAAATAGGGTAAAGTTTCTAGGAACTCAACTAAAAAATCAATTCAAATGAGGATTCAAAATTCTATTTTGATTTGGGGAAATTTGGTCGAAATTAGATGACAAATTACTTAGTTTACTCTTCAAACTACTATGGAAATTTGGTGGAAGTTTAAAACCCTCTCCGAACTCTTATGGAAATTCAGTGAAAGTTTAAAACCATAAACAAACAGAGGGGAGTAAATATCATGTACTTTGTTTTTTATTGAAACAAACGGCTGAGAGAGAACAAAGGGCAGTAAATATCATGTACTTTGTTTTTTATTGAAACAAACGGCTGAGAGAGAGAGAGAGAACAATTATGATTGGGTGGGTCAAATCATAATTATACAGGTCTAAAAAAGAGGTCATCCTCAAAATTTAGCATCAACTTAAAATTGCCATTGAGCTTGGTGACATTAATCTCTGATATATTTACTTATCTATAAATTCATCATCTTAATAATTCTAATCTCATATCTTAGTAAAAACTCAAATTATCATAATGTTTCCGGGCTGCCCATCCCTATCGGATTTTTGATAGTTTATAACGTTTAGGAGCTCCTTGCCCGATTTGCACCATATACCCGGAACCGGCTGGTTTTTTGATAGAACTGCCTAGTTCTGTCGAGGAACCAACTGATCCAACCCTTTTTTTTTTTTTTTTAAAAAATTATTTTATTCTTTTTTTTTTTTGTTTATTGTTGCTTCACTCGACCGGATCGCCGATTTGAACAGTTTTCCCATATGAGCCATTCAGGTCACCGATCCTTTTTATTTTTTCCAGACACTGATATACTCAGTGTATAGTAACCAAAGCCCTAGTAAAAATTAAAAAAATTAAAAAATACAAAAAATAAAATAAAAGTAGTAAAAGTTAAATAAACACCTAAACAAACTTAAAAGTCCAAATAAGTTAAAAAGGAAAAAGGAAAAATAGATATAAAAGATTTTGATTTATAGTTGGAGACATTAAAAATAATCTATAAAAAGGAAAATATAAATATAGGGATTATGACGAAAAACATTCTCACCAATCGTTGTCAGAAAAATATCGAAATTATATATAAAAAATTTATACTACAATCCGATATGTATTTTTTACTGATATTAGGGCTTTCGTTTTTAAAATTTTTTATGTACCTAGTACATACAACTCGGGGCACCCAATCTATCTCATCCAAGTCCAGTAAGATCCCTATTGGAAAAATCGGGCGATTTAACCGCTAACTAGCCGGTTAGATTGGAACTGGTCACTGGCTGGTTCTAGTTTTGGGCGGTTTTGGTGATCGATCGGTATTTAAAAATATATATATATATATAAATTCTCAAAAATAAGGAATTTAGTTTGTAATGCATTTTTTAATATTCTTTACATTGTGGTACAGATTAAAAAAAAATTGATCTTTAATACTCATTTTAATTCAAAAATCGATTCGTTAAAATCCAGTTGTCATTAATTTTCAACTTTATTTGAATGAGTTTTGTTTTAATCATTCTTTATATGCTTTTCATAATTTAGTATATTTTTTTTGTATCTTTTTTACACTTATTTGACCGCTTGGGACTTGTTAGAGTGGTTGAATCGGCCGGTTTACCAATTAGGCCGATTCTACCACTTTCAGGCCCATATCTGGTTAACCATTTCAGTTTGATTTTGCAAACACTAAGTAAGACTGATATTTTACTTCGATATATGTACGAAATTATTCTCAATTTTATTGTTTATAAAAGGTTTTTCATATTGTTTTACATATGATTTGATTTTATATATTTGCTAATATTTAATTATTTAATAATAAATAATACATTGCTTTGATATTTCAAAGTCTCATTGATTAGTTCTAAATAGAACCTGTGTATTTTGATATAGTTTGTTCTAATTACTTAAAATTTCAATCATAATAAAATTACTTGAAACAAATTGTATTATTGGAAAATAATTATGTAAATTAATATCTCATCAATACAAGTAATTTTAATCAATATTGATTACAATATTAGCAAATCTAACCCAGTCTCTAAATCCAACTAATTCTCTCAAAAGTTATGGGAAAGAGAGAAAGTAGTCATCCATTCAAATCCTTATTTTCCTTAAAATTTCAAATCTTTTATTTCAAATTGACATTTTTTTTTTTTAAACAATAAATACTTAATTTAAGTTTGGAAAAATATATCGTGGCATAAATTAGTAAAAAAAAGTAAAAAAAGGAATTGTGATTGAAAATTGAGAAATTGGGAAAAATATCGTAAATTAAAACTACAATGCATGAACTATTGCCCAATTATTTTTTACTGTATAAAAGCTTTTTTTTACACATGGATCTCTCTCTATTTATATATAAAAATGATCATATAGGACGCTCCTCCACCTATGTATAGGACCCCAATGGATCACTATTAAATTTGGCATGATCTATAGAAAAGTCAAGTCCCACACCTATGTGATAACATTTTTAGAGATTCGTGCCAACTTTAATGGTGATCATTTGGGATCCTACACACATCGGTCGGATTTCATCGCGCGGTCACGATTATCTGGTAGTATTTTATTTTTCATTTTTTTTTTCTACAAATCATAATAGCCTGAAATTTGGAGGGTATTTACATCTTATTGAGACGCATCTAATAAAAATATAAAAAAAATTATCCGCGAAAAATAAATTGATTAAAATACCCCTGAAGCATTTCGAAGGCATTTTGGTCAATTATTTTCATGTAAAATATTTTTTTTATAATTTATAAGATTTTCGTATTTTTTATACTTTTTATGACTACTGGCTCTAAATTTCAGGCTATTCTGATTTATAGAAAAAAATAAAACATTATCGGACAATCTTGACTGCGCGATCAATTTTGGACGGTGATAGGGGTAGGCAAAATCACTATTCATTTTCACCTATAGGCGTTGCGTAGTGTTTTCATATATATATATATATATATAGCAATAATCCAATGTAACAGTTGTATCATAGTATAATGAAACGATACTTATAAAAAACCATATTTGTGGTATTTGTATGACCCCAAATTTTTCATACACACTCTTGTCATCTTAATAATCAATCACCCCCAAAAAAAAAGTTCAATTTGAACCCTAGATATGGTCAAAATGACTCCCATCCAAAAACAAATCTAGACCATTCATTTTGTGAATTTCAAGATCTTAACCATTATGAACTCAAAATCATTTTTTTCTTTTTTAACGTTGTTCATCTAGTGATAATAAAGCCATCCAAAAAAATCGGAAATGAAAAAATCCTTCTAAGGCCTAGATATAAGCATCTCACAAAAATGAACGGCCTATGTTAATTGGGCTAAAAAAATACTTTCTAGGTTGTGTTTTCAATTTTTTTCTTTTTTTGTGATTGTTTGTTAGAATGAAAAGAATGTATATTTCAAATTTTGGATGACCATAATATGGTTTTTTAAGGTTGTTGCAGCATATTACTATACAACGGTTGCATGGAATCCTTGGCCACATGCAACTGTTGTATAGT